CGTGCGCCCAGCAGCGGTTGGAGGCCGAGGTGCAGATGCGCAGCCAGGAGCTGAAGCGAGAGAGGGAGGTAAGTTCCGGCCTGGAGGCGACCGTGGAGGCCCTGCAGACCCAGAAGCAGGAGCTGAGGTGCTCTCTGGAGAAGGAGAGGGAGAAGCCAGCACAGTTACAGGCAGAATTAGAACAGTTACACGCAAGATTGAGAGAGCAAGATGCGCGGAAGGAGAGGAGGAGGAGAGCGGAGCCGAGGCAGAGCCGTGCAGACGCAGAGAAGTGGAAGAAGTGGCAGAGAGACAAGGAGAGACTGGTGAGCGTCGCCTCGCCGGCACAGGGCCCTGGCCTGTCATTGCTCGGTGCCCAGGAAGCATGAGGGATGGCAGAGGGACAGGCCCACTGGTAGTCCTGTCCCATTGGTCTGTGGTTCTGTCCTTGTGCCAGGACCACCCCATTTTGGTTACTGCAGCTTTGTAGAAAGTTTTGAAATTGGCAAGTGTGAGTCCTCCTACTTTGTTCTTCTCTTAAGATTGTTTTGGCTCTCAGGGTCCCTTGTATTTCCTTGTATTTCCACATGGACGTATGTTTAGGGATTTCCTCCATCTCCCCAGTGGAGTTAGATCCTGGAGCAGGGACCTCATGCATTTACTCACCGCTTTCTCCCTGGCCCTTCACACAGGGCCTGGCACGTAATTGGCACTAAGTCAGTGGAATGTCTTCTCATTTATTGAGGTTTTCTTTAATTTCTTTCAACAATGTTTTGTAGTCTTCAGAGTGTAAGTTTTGCATTTCTTTTGTTGACTTTATTTCGAAGGATTTTTTAATTTTTTGATGCCACTGTAGATGGAATTGCTTTCTTAATTCCATTTTCAGATTGTTCCTTGTTGGTGCAGAGAAGCACAGTTGATTTTTGTCTATTAATCGTGCACCCTGCAACTTTGCTGAACTTGTTTATTAGCTCTGATAGTTTCTGTGTGGACTTTGTAAGATTTTCTTCATACAGGGTCATGCCATCTGTGAATAGGGATAGTTATAGTTTCTTCCTTCCTAGTCTGGATCCCTTTTATTTCTTCTTGACTGGTCACCCTGGCCTCAGTCTCCGGCAGTGACTTGTTCGCACCCTTAGGGGGAAAGCATTCAGCCTTCCACTGTTAAGTGTGAGTAGCTGTGGGTATGTTATAGATGCTCTTTATCAGGTTCGGGAAGTTACCTTCTATTCCTAGCTTGTTCACCCTTGTTTTTTTTAGTTATCAATGAGTGTTGGATTTTATCAAATGCTTTTTCTGTGTCTATTGAGATCATAAGGTTTTTTCCTTTATTCTGTTAATATATTATGTTGATGGATTCTCAGATGTTAAACCAACCTTGCATTCCTGGGATAAATCTCACTTCACTAGTATTTTCTTGAGGATTTTTGCATCTGTATTTATGAGTGATATTGGTCTGTAGTTTTTTTTTTGTTTTCATTTTGGTGTCTGTCTGGTTTTGGTATCAGGATAATGTTAGCCTCATAGGATGCACTGGGTGGTTTTCCCTCCACTTGTGTTTTTTGTCTGGCCCTTCATTTTTTGTTGCATTTTACGTCAACCAAAAGCCTTGGTTTTTGATAAAATAATACCCTGCGTCTTCTTATGGACTGACCTTTGTTTTACCCTCTTTAAAAATATTCTTTAAAATACTTTTTAAAAATACCCTCACTGTTTCTTTTTATACTGTGAGAAGTTATAAAAAGTTTTCAAAAACACACAGGTGGGACCAGAAGCCTGGTGTTTTTAGTGGTCAGCTGGCCATAAAATAGTTTCAACAGTAAACGTGTTTCTAAGGACAAAGCTTTGGGTTTCTCAATGTTACGAGGATAAATTAGATTCTAAAATGCTATAAAATTGTTCTGTAAGTTCCTGTCAGAGATGTGATTGATGTTTTTGGGGGAACTGTATTGGGATATAATTTACATACTATAAAATTCACCATGTAAAGTATACAATTTAGCGGTTTTTAGTATATTCACAGAGTTGTGCAAACACCACTACAGTCTAATTTTAGCACATTTTCGTCACCCGCAAAAGAAACGCATACCCATTAAGCAGTCACTCCCCTTTATCCCTCCCCCAGCCCCGGTCACCTCTGATCTCCTTTCTGCCTAGGTTTTCATGGAACTGGGATCCTACACTTTGTCCTTTTGTACCTGTTTTTGTGCTTATTTGTCCTCTTGTGCTTCTTCACTCAGCACAGAGTTTTCAGGGTTCCTCCACGTAGGAGCATCTGTCAGTAATGATTAATGTTATTGCCATTTAAAAAAAACTTCAGAATGTCTTGGTGGTTAATCACCAGAAGTCTTGGGAAGTGGGGATGTGTTGGAGGTGCAGACTCTGGGCAGAGTGTGGCCGAGACTGAAGTGGTCGAGTGGGCCCTGGTGGCTGGGAACCCTGAACTGTGCCCTTGGGAAGAGGGGTCTGTCTGCCGCCTTCTTGTGATTGTCAAAGGAGTCTGTTCTCTGTTGGGTATTTCCTCTAACCATGCTGAAAGTTTTCAGACAGCCCTTTTATTTGATCTTGACTTTTTGTAAAAATGAGTGGTAACATTATTGCTTAAAAAGTAAGTACAAAGAAAATGCTTTCTAAGTCAAATCAGTGACGGTTCTTGGCGGTGCGCCTGGATGTGTGTGTTTTAGGTCAGGTGGCCCTTCGGGTGTTACTCTTGACGCAGGTTGACTGGGTTGATGTCAGTCGTAGACTTCAGCTTAGCTGCTGAAGTGTCCCCGTCCAGAGACTGAGTTCTTTTCTGACCAGAATGAGCTTGTCAGTTCCTGTGCCTTACTTCCTTCATCTGGGAAATTAAAGATAAAATGGTCATTCCTGTCCCCTCTCTTGAGTGCACTGAGGCGTGTTCAGAAGAAGCAGTCTCAGGGTGTGCTGTGACTGGTGGACCTGCCCATTATAACGGCATATACCCCCTGCACCAGTGGGGCGGGCTACCATCCCTTCCTGCTGTCTGCTCGGCGGGGCCTCGGACTGGGGCGCCCCGTTGGTCCCTCATTTGTAGACCTTGTCACTGTTTAGCTTTGTGGCTCCCTCCCCAGTGCCAGCTGTGCGTCCCCACTCAGGAATCCCTTCCTGCCCGTTTGGTCTGTTTCCCCACAAGGAGGCCCCTGGGACATCACTTGAAAAGCACCCTGTTGCTCTCGTAGCCTGCTCTCCTGTGACTTTGTTTAGGGATTTCCTCTGTCTCCCCCGTGGCGTTAGATCCTGGAGCAGGGACCTCATGCGTTTGCTTACTGCTTTCTCCCTGGCCCTTCACAGGGCCTGGCACATAACTGGCAATAAGTTAATGAAAGTGCATTGAATGGAGTGATTAACCTCTGTGTTACAAATAACAAGGTGGAAGTTCTGTGAGGTTAGGCCCAGGAGGGCAGAGGGTGTTCAGATGACGTGGCTCAGACCCAGGGCTGCATTCAGCCAGCTGCACAGGCTCCTGTGTGTCTGTGCGTGCACGTGTGTGTGCACTTGTGTGTAGTATGTGTGTACATGGCCCTGTGTTTCCGTGCATGTGTATGTGTGCATATGTATGCATGTTCACGTCCCTGTGTGTCCACATGTACCTGTGTGCACGTAGTGTGTGTTTGTGTTCACGTGTACATATGTCTCTGTGTACATGTCCCTGTGTCTGCGTGCGGAACGTACATGTGTTTACATGCATGCACATATCATGTATGTTCCACACACATGTATACATGCCTGTTCACGCGTGTATGTATTGTGTAGATGTCTGTGTGTCCATGTGTGCATGTGTTCGTGTGTATAAATGGGTGTGCTGTTTGTGTGTGCATGCATGTGCGTACATGTGCCTTTGTGTCTGTGTGTGCATGTGTTCACGTGTATAAATGGGTGTGCTGTTTGTGTGCGTGTGTGCATACATGTGCCTTTGTGTCTGTGCATGTGTTCACATGTATAAATGGGTGTGCTGTTTGTGCGTGTGTGCATACATGTGCCTTTGTGTCTGTGTGTATGTGTTCGTGTCTGTATGTGTTTGTGTGTGCCACTCATACTTGTGTGCACATGTTGTTTGTGGCCCTGTGTGTCTGTGTGTGCGTGTGAGTTTGTGCGTGCAGCATGTCTGTGTTGGTGCGTGGAAACCAGAATGCAGGGCCCGTGAAGCGCCATCCTGTTTGCTCCAGCTCCTCCAGCTCCTCGCCTTCCCCTCAGAGTGCCTAGCTTGGACCCTGTGAAAGCTTAGCCTCCCTCACCAGTGAAGATGGGTGTGGTTGGCCCGTCCCCTGACCCTTGTTGCACCCAGAGCACCCCAGTGTGGGGTGTCTGGTGACTCACTCCACGCAGTCATGGGGGGAGGCTTGTGTGCCAAAGATCATTCACTTGCCCCTGCAGGTTCTGTCCTGGCCCGTGAGGGCCTCCCCGTACCCTGCTGTGTGTCTGGTCTTCTCCTGGTGGTTTGCTGTTGGGAACACGTATGTGACGGTCTCTCTCTCTGTTGTTTGCCATCGGCGACAGCGGGAACTAGAGTTGCGGCGTCAGCGCGACGAGCATAAGATCAAGCAGCTGCAGCGGACGGTGAGGGACCTGCAGTTGAGGGAAGACCTGCATCCAGGCGGCGGCGTCTGCACCAGTGCGCCCCGAAGTGCTGGCCATGCAGAGCTGCATGTCCCGCTGGAGCTGAGCCGCCTGCGAGAACAGCAGGAGCAGCTGGAGAGCACGCGGCAGCAGCTGCTCTGTGCCGCCGGGCTCCTGACCAGCTTCATCCACCAGACCGTGAACAGGTGCGCGCCACCCTTAGAGCAGGAACCAAATGTGGCCCAGCAAGTAACTCAGACGGTGCTCGTGGCGCCCCGTTTCGTCTGGTGCTGCGCCGCAGGGTTGGACAGAGTCATTCTCTTGTCTCCTCTTCTAGCAGGGAACAGCTGTGGAGTGACAGTCAGCTGTGTCCCCACGGATACTTTAAATGCCTGTTCGTTTTTACAGAACAATTAACGATTGGACATCATCAAATGAGAAGTCAGTGGCCTCGCTGCTGCGGACACTGGAGGAACTGAAATCTGACCTGAGCATGTCCACCTCCACTCAGGTGGGTGACGGGCTCATGACGTGGTGTGCCCCTGGCCTCTCAGCCTCTCTCCTCCCTGCCCCCCCGCCCCCAACC